TGGGACACCTGGCGGTCATGGCCGCCAACCACACGGTCAACGTGAAAGGCTTCACGCCCATTCAGTGGGCGTACGGAGTTCAGTGGGCGTACGGAGTGGACCCGGCACACTACGACCGGGACGAACTCGCCCTGGACCCCTTGAAGGTGAACAAGGAGATCATGGAGAAGCCGGCGAACTTCTGGAACCTTCAGAGACTGCTGGACAGGGCGGAGGAGGTCCACCGCAAGGAGTACGCTCGAGAAGCCTTCACGCGACTACACAATGCGGCCCCGCGGCCGGCGGACCAGTTCCAACTAGGAGACTGGGTGTGTGTGTGTGGCGGAAAGCCTCACTGAAGGCTCGAAAAGGCCGAGTCAATCCGGAGCCCAGATTCATCGGGCCTGGCAGAGTGGCTCTGATAGAGCCAGCCGTGCTGCCTGAGGGCAGGTCATCTGTGCCCTGGGTCCTCATTGGAGCAGCCCTGTGGAGATGTGCACCTGAGCAGCTGCGTTTTGCAAGCGAGCAAGAGGTGATCTCTGAGTTGCTTAGCCGTGGCGAAGCTGTGACAAGACCCGTCCAGGAGCAGCTCAGGAACATGAGCCGGTGGATCGACGTCACGGTTGAGGGCAAGGGCATGGAAGAAGAAGTGGACCTGCCACCAGAGCCCCTGCCTGGAGGAGCACCGGATCCGGAAAGGACCTTGACTACCGCCCAGTCGCCCCAGGACTGGATGAGGGGCATTGAGGATGCTTCCGATGCCTGGGCAGACCGACTGAAGTCCAGAGCCAGCCGCCTCTCCCAGGACGAGAGAAGCCGCTCTAAGGAGAGGCAGCACACGGTGCAAGAGCAGGTGATGAGATGGCAACAGCTGCAAGGAACGAACGAGGGCCGGAAGAAGGATGGTCTTCCCTTGTTGACCAGGTTGCCACCGCTGACCACACCTGTTCCTGATTCCTGGGAGGTCGACGAGGAGTCTCGGATGCTGATTCGGCACCACAATTCGTGGCGGACCAAGCTCTTTCTGCCGCCCAAGAACATGCCGATGCCCATGGAGGTCGGACAGTTGACCGGGAAGCGAGTCACCCAATGGCTCCAGAAGGAAACTGACGAGAAAGGAAGCTTTGTGGATGACTTCAAGCTGGCCGACCACCCGGAGCGAGCACTGGCTTTCGACTGGAAGGGCCGAACCATGTTCGAATACAAGCCGCCAACACCCAAACGTGTGTTGGAGCAGGCCCCACCGGAGCCAGCAAAGCAGAGAGGACGAAGCCGCCAAGGAACGGCAGCTAAGCACCGGGAGCCCGCGGAGAAGGAGAGGTCCAGGAGTGGACCACCTACGGCTCCGGCCGGGGAAGGGCACGGCGCTTCTAAGGAGGCAGCCAGGAGCAGCCATGAGGCAATGGCTGTGGATGCAGAGTCCACGGCAGAATCCCAACGAGCTCAAGGATCTGTGGAGACCGCCGAACTGAAGGAAGAGGCGATGGTGGCCACAGCGACAACAAAGGGTTTTGTGGAGACAGAGTCCACAACAGAATCCCGACGAGCTCAAGGATCCGTGGAGACTGGCCCTAAGGTTGAACCAGAGAACCTAGGAGTCAAGCAAGAGCCTAGCACGACCAGGGTGGCACCTCATGGCAGCAAGGCAGATCAGGTACCAGCCACAAGTGCCGTCGGGGAGACACCAAAGACCGAGTACTTCAACATGGCCGAGGCCGATGTTCCGGAACAGGGCGGTGAGATGGATACCACTGCTCTTGAAGAAAAGACCAAGGCCTTTGAGGAGGTCGCGAACTTCTACCTCACTGAGGACGTGTACTCCGCGGTCAAGGATCGGATCAAAGTGCTCGAGGCCCAGATCGAAGAGAAAGAATACTTCGAGCAGATGAAGGCAGAGGCCGAGGAGTGCAGGAAGTCCGAGAAGCAGTTCTTGGCCAAAATGGTTGAGGCCTGCGACCAGGAGGAAGAGGCCCTAAAGATCGAGTTTGATGTGGACGACCTGAACGCCTTTGTGGCAGGAGGGGCCGTCTATACCAAGGACAAGCTCGTGAACCCGAAGTCGCAGAAGGAGGTGAACTTCAAGAAACTCTCTGCCGACGAGAGGGGCAACTTCGAAGAGGCAATGGCGAAAGAAGTTTCGGAAGTACTTCGAAGCCAAGCGTTGCGGGCAGCCCGGGACAAGTTCGATGAGGAGACCATGAAGGATCGGATTATTCCGATGCGGTGGCTGCTCACTTGGAAACCCCTGACGGAAGAGCCGCCTAAGGGCGACAAGACAGTCAGGAAGGGCGGGCTTCACAAGGCCAAGGCGAGGGTGATCCTTATCGGGTATAAGCACCCTGACCTCGAGAAGCGGAACCCGAGGACCGGACAGAGGCTGTTGCAAACCGCCTCACCGACTATGAGCCGGCTAGGACGCAATCTGCTCCTACAGGGAGCGGCCCTGGACGGTCACACTGTAGAGTGTGCGGATGCCAAGAGTGCCTTCTTGCAGGCAGACGCCGACATCGGCACCAAGAGGCTCTACACGAAGGGCGTGCCGGAAGTGGCGCGGGCACTGGGCATTCAGCCAGGAGCCGCCATGGAAGTGGTCGGGGCGTTCTACGGCCTGACCAACGCACCAAGGGTGTTCTGGCAGGACACCGACCAGAAGGTCACGAAGATCGGAGGGAGACGCAATCGCGTCGACAAGTGCATCTGGGTCTTCATCAGCAAGACCACCGGCAAGGTCATAGGACGTGTTGGTACACACGTCGACGATTTTATCATTGCCGGGGACCACAGCAACCCTGAGTGGATGGAGATCCGGGAGCAGCTCAAGAAGATGTATGCCTGGAGCCCTTGGAGAGAAGGGAGTTTTACCTTCGCTGGCTTGGAAGTCCAGCAACTTAAGGACTACTCCATCGGGGTGACCCAGGAGGCGTTCTCCAACTCCCTGCAACCAGTGGCTATCTCTGAGGAGGAAAGCCGAGGACCAGCCAACAAGCTGACCGAGGCGGAGATCAGCCAATGCAGAGGCCTGATCATGAAGGCCCAGTGGAGAGCTGTGCAGTCAGCCTTCCAGTACTGTGCCCGAGTGGGCATTGCCGCGTCGTCCATGACGGACCCAAGAGTGAGCAACCTCCAAGAGGCGAACAGTATCCTCAAGGAGATGAAGAAGACGGCCAAGGAGGACCTGTACTTTCATGCGTTCAACTTTGGCAAGAACGCCGACGAGCGCCTCACGTGGAAGGACGTGGTTGCCGTTCACTTTGGGGACGCAGGCCACCAGAGCAGGCCGGACGGATCCTCTACAGGAGGGTACATCACGGGCTTTGCTGAGCCAAGCATCCTATGGGGAGCTGAGGCTAAGATGTCCGTGATCGACTGGAAGAGCTGGAAGCTGGAACGACCAGCCAAGGGCACCAACAACACCGAAGGCCAAGGACTCTACGAAGCAGAAGACCGTGGCTGGAGAGTGCGCCTACTGTGGGCAATTCTCAATGGAGAGGAGCTCACCCGCAAGAATGCGGTCGACCTGGCCAGTTCCATGGAGTCGCTGTTGGTGACAGACTCCAGGGGTCTGTACGATGCTGTGAGCAGCTCCGAGTCGCCACTTCTTGGAATGGCAAACAGCCGGACTGGCGTGGAAGTGGCCGCCATCCAGAAGGCTCTGCGTGACGATGGCAAATGCTATCTCACATGGGTTCCCTCCGACATCAACCTCGCGGACTCGCTGACGAAAGCAACCAAGGATGCCTACAAAGTTGCAGCCACCTACCTTGAAAGGAAGACCTGGGTGGTGCGCTTCAACCACGACTTCGTCAGTGCGAGGAAGCAACAGAGGCTGCGCCGCGCTAAAGAGCTGCAAGAGGCTGCGTCTTCGACTTCCCCGAGCTCACCTGAGTGGGACCAGTACGTCGAGGAGCTTTTCGAGCCTACGTGCCCAGAACTCCGTGAGTGAAGCAAAGCTCGCATGGGGTTTTGTGGATGCAGCTTGCGCTTTGTTAGGAGCTCCTATAGGGAGCTGGGATGCGCAGCTTTGTGTTTCACCTCGGCCCCTATGGCTCGAACCAAGGGGGCCCCTTTGAGCCGCTAACGCAAGCGGGATCCAAAAGAGTGTGAGCCATGAAACTATAGACGATTCTTCTTTCTGCCGCTGAATATTGCGTGTCTATACATGGTTACTTACGAGCTGTGCATCCTGCGCACCCTCCGCCCCCCTTCCCCCAATGGTACTGTATCCCCTGCAAGTACAAGGGGATGGAGGCCTGGGCGGCCGGGCGAGGGCGACCATACGCACGGACAGAGAACACTTCCTTTTCCGCGGGAGGGAGGAAATCCCGCTCCACATTGGCTGGGAGTGCAAATATGCTCTACTCTACTCCTCTTTGCACCCTCTTTTCTCCGGTGTGTGGCTGCAATTCCTTAGGCCAAGGAGAGGCCCCGAAAGGCCGGAGGGCCAGCCCCAGACACGCGGCGCTGGGGGCAGGGGCCGGCTCCGCAAAAAATTTGTCTTAGGCAGGGGCTCGGCCTGCCTGGAAAACTAGATTTGATGCATTTTCTAGCGCTGTTTGTTGTGGTTGTGTTTGGTATTTCGTGTTTTTCTTTATGTGTTTCTGGTGTTGTTTGTCCCTTTCGTGGGTATGTTTGGCAGTTTGTTCTTTTTTGTGTGCTTTTTCTGGTGCTATTTTTGTGCTTCCCCCAGCGACGTTCCGGAGCAGCCCCATCCCGCCACGTGAGCAGTAATTGTCGCGCTTGTGTGGGAGAGGGGAGAGGAGAAAGAGAGGGAAATTAGGAGAGAGGAAGAAAGCGACAGAGGGAGAGCGGGAAATAGGGAAAGAGGAACAGGGGTCAGAAGGGCTTCATCACCGGAACACATGATCCACAATGAGTGTCATCATTGTCGGGCTCCAAGATTCAGTTTGTCAAACAAACATCTAAGTTAGCTGTGCTTTTTGCTGTGCTCACTGTTAAAGGCCCCCTGCAGGCCCCCAGATTATAATAATCAACCATCCCAGCTGTAACTTGAGCCTGGCGGCATATCTTGTGTGGGACCTTGAATAGCCGGGCTTGCGGTTTAGGGTTTAGCGGCTCAGGGTTCGGGGTCTTGAGAGACGAAATCTGAGAGTCTTAAGAGACGAGTTTCTGGGTCTGAAAGCGTTCCGGGTGTTCAAGGGTTTAAGGCTTTCTGTTGTCTCCACGGCTGGAGGATTTGGTGGGGTTAAGGCGGGTTGGGTTGACAGGTCTTCGGGCTTTTGGAGGGTTTCTATTTGACACGCCGTCACAATCCCAAGAAAACCCTACACAAACCGAAACCATCGACACAACCCACACAAGCTCTACAAAACCTTACAAATACTCTACCCCCCAAACCTGCAAAAGCGCTTACTTGCCAGTGCTTATAATTCAGGGCTCACCTCTGCAGGCTCAAGGTGGCCATCACGGCGCGACAAAGGTGCAGGGCCGTGGTGATGAGCAGCTGCATCTGCGGTTGAGGGCTCAGTTTAGGGTTCGCGCTGCGTACGATTTAGGGTTCAGGGTGTCGCCCTCCTTGCCCAGAGCCACCTCACATCACCTGCCCTCCAGCCACCTCCTCAAGCTCCTTGACAAGTACCCGGCCTCGGCGAAGGCCCAGGCGAGGATGGTCGCCGCCCTCGCCCTGGCAGCACGAACAAGCCGAAGCAACAGCTGTCACGACACAAGCTGTGAGGCGAGATACAGGGAGCCGTTGTCCTCGTGTGTGTGTGTGTGTGTGTGTGTGTGTGTGTGTGTGTGTGTGTGTGTGTGTGTGTGTGTGTGTGTGTGTGTGTGTGTGTGTGTGTGTGTGTGTGTGTGTGTGTGTGTGTGTGTGTGTGTGTGTGTGTGTGTGTGTGTGTGTGTGTGTGTGTGTGTGTGTGTGTGTGTGTGTGTGTGTGTGTGTGTGTGTGTGTGTGTGTGTGTGTGTGTGTGTGTGTGTGTGTGTGTGTGTGTGTGTGTGTGTGCGTGCGTGCGTGCGTGCGTGCGTGCGTGCGTGCGTGCGTGCGTGTGCGTGCGTGCGTGCGTGCGTGCGTGCGTGCGTGCGTGCGTGCGTGCGTGGGTGCGTGGTGTGCGTGGGTGCGTGGTGCGTGGGTGCGTGGGTGCGTGGGTGCGTGGGTGCGTGGGTGGGTGCGTGCGTGGTGCGTGGGTGCGTGGGTGCGTGGGTGCGTGGGTGGGTGGGTGGGGTGGGTGGGTGGGTGTGTGGTGTGGGTGTGTGTGTGTGTGTGTGTGTGTGTGTGTGTGTGTGTGTGTGTGTGTGTGTGTGTGTGTGTGTGTGTGTGTGTGTGTGTGTGTGTGTGTGTGTGTGTGTGTGTGTGTGTGTGTGTGTGTGTGTGTGTGTGTGTGTGTGTGTGTGTGTGTGTGTGTGTGTGTGTGTGTGTGTGTGTGTGTGTGGGTGTGTGTGTGTGTGTGTGGTGTGTGTGTGTGTGGTGTGTGTGTGTGTGTGTCTGTGTGTGGTGTGTGTGTGTCTGTGTGTCTGTGTGTGTCTGTGTGTGTGTGTGGTGTGTGTGTCTGTGTGTCTCTGTGTGTCTCTGTGTGTCTGTGTGTCTGTGTCTCTGTGTCTCTGTGTGTCTGTGTGTCTGTGTGTCTGTGTGTCTGTGTGTCTGTGTGTGTGTGTGTCTGTGTGTGTGTGTCTGTGTGTGTGTGTGTGACATGGCCGAACCCACACAAACAACTGCCGCACTTTTGAGATAGCTTCGTGTTGCGCATTGCTTCAACGCAGTAGCCCTTCAGTCCCACCGCTCCTAGAACCTTCTACGAGTAGCCTCCGTCGCCTACAGTGGACTGTCACAGTTTGGGGGTTGTTGGGCGGTGAATGGGGTCAGGGCATAGGTCTCTTCCAGGGGGAGATCATAGTTGTCTGAACAGCCAATGCAGAAGCACAAGCCACAAGAGGTGACTTTCGATCATTGCTCTTGTTCTTTGAATATTTGAGGCTGATCCCTGCACTGCACATGCCGGCGGCCGGGCCATCCACACACCAGCAAGCTCCATCATCCGTGAAACACCAAGACTCTTGACCCCACGCCTATCACATATCACAAGCCTAAGCTCAGACGCTCGTCCTAGGAAATCATTAGGCTGCGGGGGGGGGGGGGGGTATTTGTGGAACAAAGCAGATAATTAATCCGGACGGACTGCTCCGCATACTCAGACTACGGCCGGTTCTCTGGCCTGTGCCTCCTGACCCTCCTCAGAACCCTCACAAGCACGCGGCGCCGTGCATCCCAACACACATCGCAACACTCTAGATGGGCCGTGCCGGTCATCATGTAAACTTCAGGGCCTGACACCCCTCAATGGCACCAAAAGACATGAGTAACCAAAAGCCTTTTCAAAGCAAGAGGCGAGAGAAGGCTGAACCACTGGGCACCGCTCAGCCTCCTCCTGTGGCCCAGCGGTCACAATCTCTCAGTCACGTTCAAGGATCGTGGCCACATGAAGCTTGCAGACAACTTTAGAGGGAAGTGACGAAAACAAAGATTGCCGAGGTCTCGTGTAGGAATCCCGTATGGGGAGGGCCTATCGGGTTTCAGGCATCAAAATCGAACATTAAAGGTTATACGGCCTATCAAAACTATTCGGAATCTAGCTTTGTTGAAAACTTCGTGCAGAAGTAATTCAAAACAGGAGCACCAAAGATCACCAACGTCGCAGAATTCCCTGTTGCTCTGATATTCTGCGAATTCGGCGTTTCAAGAAACTTATGTGGTCAGCAGATCTTGCTGTGGAAAAATCCACATCCACCTTGCATGTTGTCGTCCCTCGTGCTGTCTATTTATCGTGTTGGGGCTGGAATGACACCCGGCTTTTCCCCCAACTGTCAGCTTTCATGCACATCCCCGTGGCAGTGTGTCGTGTTTACTGTTCCCACTACCATCGTCTAATGGCTCAGCTTGGCTGTGCGTCGTGGGGTTCACGCTTCAAGGTTTGATGCCTTGGCTTGCCAGGGTTCCACAAAACAAGCACCTAGCTTTGCAAGATGCAATCTGTGTTCAGCTGGCTCTACCCGCTTTTCAATCGCAGGGAACCTAAGACATTTAAAGAATAACGAAAAAACACAACCTTTCCGGAGTCTTGTTCAAATCATGAACCCAGTTGACTAGATTCGACTAGATGAAACCCGAAAGTTGGTATCATTCCGGCCAAGCTGCACGGAAGAGGCACTTGGCGGCGAGCTTGCCAAGCGAATAAACTTGGCGCAGTGGACGGGTAGTTGGACTTCACAAGATTGGGTCATCTTGGAACTGGTCTGCAGGAACACTAGCTCACAAAAGTTGGAGTTTGGGTATAGGCCTGAAGCCTGAGGCTATCTTGAGTTTCAGGTGCAAGGCTTCAGGGGCGGAGGCCCATTGGGTGTCCGTTCCCAATCCAGTCGCACTATTGACCAAATCTTTTGCTGGCCACCTCCTGGCTTGAAACCTCGGACCTGTGAATCCTGATCCCGAAGCCGCGCTGTTACACAACCGTTCGACTCCTTGCGCCCACTTCCAGAATCTTCCAGAACTGATCCAAGCAGATTCCAGAATAAGCCTCAGGGACAGTCCGGAGCCTTTCCGTAAATACCTGGCATATTGCTCAAAGGTTGCCTACACATGTGCCCCTGGACGAAAACTTGGCTAGTGAAAGCTGCCGGGCTTCCACACTCTTAGCAGGTCTGGAGTATTTTAAGGCTCGAACAGCAGCCCTCCATGCAAGCCTGCATGGTGCTTGCTTCTGGTTTTGAGCACACACGGCAGATGGGGATCATTCTCAAGTTCTCGTGCCATCCATGCCCGAAGGTCTCCGGTTCACAGGCGTCCAACCTGCTCCACAAGCCAGGCCCAAACGAAGCCACCGACTACCGCTAGCTTTCGGTTCACTACCAGCTGCAATCGCACTTTTGGACTCTCGATGGCTCTGCTTCGGGTGCTGTTGCACCACATCCACGCCCCAGCTGCAAGGGAGAGAACCAAAGAACCAACGACTGCAAAACGTGCAGCATCTGAAACCGGTAAGATTGAATCCTTCGCATCACCACTGCAGCACAAGGAGGAGGCCGACTGCTACCGCTCTCGCTACTCACCACAGACCTGAACCTGAGCAGCCAGAAATGTTCAGTAAATCAGTATGCACAAAGCTGCTGTCCTTGATCGTGAACAGCATCCCGATCTTGATAAGTACTCACTGCCAAGCTTCATAACTAGATTTAATCGGTAGAGATATGCGGACTCGAATGCCAAGAGCAACAATGCTAAAACTGAAACACATCGATCATAGTAGCACCAGCGATGACAAAAGTAGCAACAGCAGTGGCAACGAAAGCAACGCGCTGGCCCTTCAGAGCCCAGCCAAAGCTGCCCGACATGTGAAAGTACCTATGTATGACGTTCGTGTGATTGTGCATGTAACTTGAAGACTCGTCGTTGGACCTGAGATGTTCTGACAGCATTCGCCAGTCTGAGGAACTACAAATTTGCCATTTCAGCTAGGGTCCTGGCGTGGCTGCCAAATTGAAATTCAATCCTGTCGTTCTCTGAAGTCTGGCGTGTTGGTTGGTTCTTGGGCTCTCGCCCCACTGCCGGCAGGTGTGCAGGGGCCGAGGCAGCCAAACGCTTTGGAACGCTTATTGATCCGTTTGCGACACTGCTTGCGAGCCGAATAAATTGAAAAGGACGCTGTGGTCGGAGCGGAAGCCTTGCATCTGGGCTAGAATATCACAGGGTGGCCGCGAACCAGAAACATTCGAGTCAATGCGCCTTCCAAGCTGGAAAGCCTCAACCACGCAAGCTCTCAGTGCTAAAGGTGCGATGCATATTGCTGAAAACACCAAGTAAAACAACCACCGTGAGGGAAGCAGGAGCAGCAGGAATGGAGAGACTGTTCCTTGCCTCCGGCCACAAGAATCGTCAGGCAAGAAAACATCGATGCAGTTCATACGCACGGAAACAAAAAGAAGCCTCAATGCACAAACCTTCATCCCTGTCTGCTGGGATTGTCTCCATGAAGCTTGACATAATGCTGAATGGTTATTAGACGACCAGTTCTGCGATCATCAGGCTTGGAATCCCAAATCTGCGACTCCTGCCACGGTCTCCAACGCGCTTCTAATCTATCCCATCTGCTCCATGGAGTCCTTTGAGCCGAGGCTGTGGCTCTGCGCATCAGGCGACGAGGTCGCACCTGAATGGTTTTGGAGGGTAGTGCCCCCGCTTCGTCTTGCACGTATCTTTCGAAGGAGGCCGGTTCGGCAGGAGGGAGCCGTGATGATCAGCTGGAATGCCAAGCCCCGGCACCAGCACATGGACTGTATACTGTCACGTCCTCAAAACATACAGTCCAAAGCTCGCAACTCCAAACCCTGAACAGATTGCCAACCCTCCATACCTAGTGTTTTTTGGGCTGTGGCTCCAAGCACGGCAAAGTTGTCCGAGCAGACGTCCTGACAATCGTAAGAGACATATAGCTTGTAGGTACAACATGCATCAAGATCGAAAGATACATGATACAGTACATGTCTACGTACACAAGTACGAACAGTTCCTACCTACAGGTTTAGAAACCAGATAAAAGCTGTCACGCTGTGCACCGGTCGCTGCCACACTTCATACGTCCGGCTTTGGGTGAAGACACGCCGGCCGTACTGTACATGCATTGACAAGCTTGGCTGGCGAGGGGTTCAAGCATTGGTGCGACATGTTGGTTTACGTGGGGTCATGGACCATTTGAGTCTGAATCGGGAGAGGGATGTTGGTCCATGGATGAAAGTAGGCATGAACAGCGGTATCCGGTCGATTGGGCGGGAACAACAACCGGGCAAATGAAGCACGTGATTGGTACAAGCCTCCACACTACAACGCCAAGCGCTTAAACCGTCTTGACGACCTTGTCTTCTCGTCAACACTATAGTTGCATAGATGCCGCGAACCTTTATCCAAGAGCCCTGAGGTGGCCAAGACACAGAACAGCCGCGACCTCAAGCAACTAAACTCATCAAACGAAATCAAACGCGGACCGACAGATGGCAAAGACATGGACCCGGTGTTGCGCAGGCGTGCCTCCATTGTGGACATGGCTCCTGGCAGGTATTCCCTAGGGTGTAGTTGGAGTCGGGGGAGGGGCCTTTTCGGGCTACCTCCGGCTGCCGAACAACGCATAACCAATGACAAGTCTCAGGTTGCCGATACGGCATGTGGTATCGCAACCCTAAACCGCGGTGGCCCGCCGATGCTGTGGCCGCCTTAAATGCGTGGCCCCGCAAAGGCTTCAGGCTATTTCAGGCTGCCTATGGAAACCAGTCCGACTTCGAGACTCAAGGACCTGAAACCGCATGCTACTACCAAGCTGCAACACGGTCAATTTTAGCCTGGCCTCCAACATGCAGTAGCCCGGGCAGAAGACAACAAAGGCCCTAAACAAACTTTTATGTGAAGTGATTGCAATCATGTCGGCTGCGGTGCCTTATTCGTAGCACGTAACTCCGTGGTGCAAAGCTATGACTGCTATACAGCTGCACCTGGTTCTTGCCAACAAAGCCAGAACGCTTGCAAGAGCCACTCCGCGCTAATGGGGTAGGTGCAAAAGCCATCAGAGCCAATCCCAACATGATCGAACATGACCGTGCCAACTTGCTGACTAAACTGCGACTGAGACCGTCTGATCACCAACTGGCATAACTGGCAATGCCGACACCAGAGAATGTGCTAGCACGTTATGACGCGCAGCCAAGCGAAATAACACAAATAACAGACGGCACTCGTTGCACGACTTGGCTTGGCTTCGGACTCCGTCACCATCACCACCATCATCAGCATCATGATCACTGTCATTCTCATGTTTGTCAGTATCATGCTCATTGCAGTGTTCAAAACCTTCCAGTCGCAACCACCACAATATGCTCTCCCATCAGCATAGTTTTCTAGTTAGATCCCCATGGTCATGACAGCGTCAATCATCACCACTTCATAACCTTCAGCAGCGGCAGCACCAACAGCAACACTATCGCCACCAGATTAAGCAGCATCCTCATGACTGCTGTCATCTCCACCTTCACTGTCCGGGGCATCATCATCATCGTCACCACCATGAACTTTACATGCTCTCGTGGCGGATGTGGAGCAAATCTCACATGCCCAGTCTATCGGCCCGAAAACCACGTCAAGGGCCTTGGACTCGGCACGGGGGATGATGTCTCCCAGAAGCTGAAACCTTAAACGATTACCTTCCGATACTGCTTGATCGTGGATAAACGATCCAGTTTGTTCTGTCAAGCTGGCTACCGAATTTCGTGTGACCTGCAAGCAACGAAGTCTGACACCAGTCTTTTCGCAAGGAACGTGGCACTCGCGTGTCCAGTGCCATGGTGGTGCAGAAGGCACGACCTGGAACGGACTGTGATTTGCTTCGTCTGGGTTTGCTTTTCGGCGAACTTGGTGTTCATGTGGCACCTACAGGATTGAACTGATGCTGGACCTATCTGCAGCCCATTTTCCGGAGCTCCAAGTCCATGATGCATGCGGCTTTGTGTTGAAGTTTCGGGTGTTTTCAGGGTTTATGAGATAGGAGCATGTTTGCTTTGCGGGTTGGGGTGTGGTCCCTGGCATTCGGAATGCTGCAGTGCAGTTCTGTAATCTTGGCGAGCCGGCGGGTTCAAATTGCTCCGCATTCGAAGCTGTCAGCACGCTTCGGTTGGGTCTTGAAAACCCCCGCCCTGGGCCTGAAATCCGGCTAGCGGCTAGCCGGCTAGCCCGAATCTCAGCCCCCGTGAAGATAACTACATACTTGCATACATACAGACATGCATACATACAGACATACATAAACATATATATATATATATATATACGTGCGGTTACATAGGCAGACACACAGGCAGGCAAACAGACAGACACACAGACACACATACAACATACATAATCTCGCAGTTCAGGGGTAAGGGGCTCCTTGAAAAGGTCCATAAGGGCTGAGGGGTATGCTGCGCACAATCATAATACGAAAGCGTACCGAATGGTATTAGGAACGCTCGCCCTAGCGCCTGGAGAGCTTGGACTTGAAGGGTTTAAGGCTCCGGGCTGGCCCTTTAGGCTATAGGGTTCAGATTTACGGCTTAGGCTCCTAGAGTTTAGAGTATTGGGGCTTACAAATTTTACAATGGGATGCCTTTGCGGTTCAGGGTTTGGGGACTTAGGGCTTATGGGGCTCAGGGCTACGGGGTGTTAAGGGTGTTGAAGGCCAAGTACCCTGATATAAGACAGTTTCCGC